ATGCTACTCCCTGTCAGCTAACGACAAATTTAAATCAGTTCGCTTCATTTTACTAGAAGCGATGGAACGGCTGGTCATGTAGGTTGATGAGCCAACTTATTGACTGCGTGGGTTATTGAGGAGCATCGCTGGCGATGGCGCTCCATGAAGCTCGGCTAAAAAAGCGGACTAAAGTATTCGAGCGTCTAGGTGATTATCACGGAAGGTCGATCCACCAAACGATGCAAAAAGCGCGACAAGAGATGCCCTGGGCGTGGTTCGATCCATGCGCATGGGTGGCAATTATGCGAGACGGCCTTAAACTATACGATCGTTTTCCTTTAGAGGATGCTGGGTTTTCAGAGTTGTTTTCGACGCTACAAGATAAACGGGGGTACGTTGGGAGGATTCGTGTGTGCTAAATGGATGTTCACTATTAAATTAAAACACCTATTGCTGCTTACTCGTGCAAAACACACTCGGCAACGCCTCCACTGTCGCGTCCGACACGTACCCAAAGATACTATAGACAGTACTATTTGAAATCACTATGCGGTAAGGGGTACCAACCGCAAGATGAGGTAATTCCATCAGGTAAAATATTTATATTGCAATAATTAATGCGCTATATTTATCTGAATATGAGCTAACTGTGCAGTTCTCTGTCCTAGCAGACAGCTAAAAACTAATCCAATCCTATGGAAAAAAAGAAAAAAATAAATATGTATATTTTTATAAGCTATTTCTAAGATTATATCTGAACAAAAAGATACTTCAATGGATGTGCTAGAAGTGACTCCTGACGGTTACGTTTATTCAAAATAACCACCACAGAAGTGACATTCAACTCACCATGCTTACATCTTCAATTTGGGATCTAAACTATTCACTAGCCGTTTTCATATTGTTTAATCTACATACATCTTTAGTGAATAATGGTAAGCGTAAACTCGTTGGTGTCCTTCAAATACGTATCATATAAAATTAAAATTAGGTTGATAATAAGTCCAGCTTCCAAACATGACAATTTAATCCCCAATCTTTATCAAAATTCGGGATTACCGGAAATATCTTTTTGCATTATTTTGGTGATCATTCTGAGCCTCAAGATATGAAAAACCTTTCCCTTTACCCCATGAAATCCTTCCTCATACTTTTGGAAAGCCGGATGGACATTGGCAGTAATATATACCGTCGATTTTGAAGGAAACGAAGTCTTCAATCTTGGTATGATTTGCTCAGCATGGAAAGATTGAATAATAGCTGATCTCCGTTCAGATTTAGAGAACTCTTTCGGTTATGGTTTCAAATTGGTTTACGTTATTTTTGGAACTAGCTTTTATCTCTGGTAGCGGTTAAACACATTCGTGGCAACATAGAGGATCAGTCGAAAAGATTCCAACATGATGAATGCACCATATGCATCATATTGCCTGACTTTGGAGAAGTTCTTCTTGACAAAAATTTCAATCAAAGGAGAAACAATCAGACCTCAGTCAGATACTTAAATCAGGCAATTTAGAATTATATTGTGTTAAAACTGCTTTCAAATTATTATAAAAATATAGACCTAAGGTGCGAGGTACTACGTGAAATCGATAATGTCCTATAGCACTATTTTTCTTTGTTGAGTGCTTCTATAAACTCTTCGAGCTTTTCCTGGACAGCCCGCACCCTCTTCAAGTCCTCAGCTAACTCGACTCGTCGACCTGTTAACAGTTCCTTCTTAAGTTGTACATCTTGTCCAATATCCTCAAAAATGTCTTTAACCTCTTTTTCTAACTTTTTCGTCTCACGATTCATCAACTGCAAAGGAAAAAGACAAACGTATATTACATACATGCTCAGATAGGTATTATTTAAGCACCTACACAGAAAACCTTACATTTCAATGTACTTTTGTTTTAATAAAAGTTTGAGTTGGAGTACTGTCAGCCATGTAAATTCTATATTGGTCGAGCAAAGGAAAAAGCAATAGATAAAAACTTGCTATACATAGTAAATACTATCACAGAACCTGTTGCCGAAGAACACTTGACGTAGTTTGTATCATTCGATGAACTTTCCAGAAAAAGACGATATCAGAACACTGCGAAGCCTCGTTATCCTTTCCTTTCTGGTACTCATAAAAAAGCCGCGAACGGTCCCGAGCCTGTTCCACAGCGCGTTTCAAAAAGTGGTATTGATAGACGGGATCCCACACGTCCTTTATTTGTCTGCAACCATTGAAATTAAATCACTACCATCAGCATCATACTATACAACATCATCTAATCGCAATTAGTGTTCGAATTGGATGTGGAGGTCAACGATCTAGACCGATGGTTTAAACATCACATAAGCCAGTAGGCTGAGGAATATGGAAAATCAAATTAGTCCAATAACAAGAAAGAACTGCAAATATTATTTCAGCAAAAACAACTTGGAAAAGATCTTTGGTTGATAGCTTAACCATTCTGACAAACACAGCTGGAAAACGCATGAAATTTTAAAAAGCTTGTTTATTCATTGCAAGGTCGTAGAAAAGTATGTAGATATTTGATGAACGTCATGTAATTATTTATAATTATAACTTTATAATAGTTCTTCTTACCTGAAATCGACTGTCTTGTACCCTTTCGATTGAAGATTTCTTCGGACAATTGTTAGCTCATTTTGCGTGAGCGCGGGACCGTGCTTTGGTAATGTGAATAGAACCAAATAAGAAAAATAACAACATCAGATGATACCCGATAGTCCATTCTTGAGGCAATGAGTGCGGTAATATAAGATGCAGGCAATAATACCGAGAAAGTCGCTAAATCAATAGCCAACGGATCAATATATCCTTCTTGCTATATTCTTCTTGCTATTAGTATTTAATAAAAAACAGTCATAGGTTTTTACTAACCGTGAAAAACATCTCAGAACTTCCCGTGAACATTGCTTCAAGCTCGTTTTTAATGGCTACACGAATCGCCTGATCTGACGTACGACGTCTCCAGAAAAACCATTGCTCGTAAAAACCAGGCCCTACAAACTCGGACAAGTTATCCTTAGCTTTTTCGAATCTCTCCAGAAGAATTTTTTCCATGAACTTAACGCTGGAATCCCACTGATGCTTATCAGTGATAAGACGATCTTCGAGTGTGTTCAGCTGTATAAGTCGTAGGGTTTCGATTGACTTATCCTCCCAGGTATGCCGATCTACCAATTCTTGAAATACTCGATCGTTCAGTTTATCAAACAACTTGTCATAGTTTTTGCTCAATTTGTCTTTTTCCATTAGCAATTGAAGTACCTCTTTTAAGGCGCACCAACCTGCCTCGACAGACTTCTGAGGTAAAATATTCTCTGCCCACAATTTTAGGCGGATTTCGGCAACGGTATTAAACCCTGCATGATCTTTAGCCTGTGCTGCTGGTAAGTAGATGCTATCGAAAACATGACTAGAGACTGATTCCCAGAGGTGCCTCTGGAGAATCAGTTCCCATTCTCGAGGCGCCAACTGAGACAAATATACAACTTCATCCAATAGTTCGCTTCTAGCACGCTCGAAGAGTTCGTCTCGATCCAGCGCTCTTAGCCGTGGAAAACTATTTTTCCACTCAGCTTCGAGATTAAATCTGCAAATTAAAATCAAAATATAGCAGTAATGCTAAAATTGGTATTCCTATGAAGATCCGACGAGTTTTTTATTAGTTTGTTGGCAACGTTTGTCGTTTGGCAACAAAACAATTGATAATTTAGTTTGGAAGATAAAATTCTGCCAGCAATTCGTCATTGCTAACGCTCCCAATAATACGGAACAGTATAGTAGTAGTCATTTCAACATTGGTATCAACATTCTACCTTGAAGCATCGGTCAAGTCGGATACAAATGCTAATGTAAAGGTAGACATAAACATATAAAGCTATCAGTTTGATCTGGCGGCAAGGCTGTAGTTGACGGTATATAGCTTACTTCTGACGTTTTATTATCACGTTTAAGCAGAAAAGAGCTTGTGAGTAATGACAGATGATGTCCTTAAGTCAAATAGCTCTGGCAAGATTTGATGACGTTGACAGTCAATAAGGAGTAACTCACTCTTCTTATTAATTCGTTACAGCTCCAGTAGTAAGTAGTAATCATAATAGTAATAAACAATTGTACTATAAGTTCTATTTATACCCTGAACCCAATCAATTTTCATACCTTTGTGCTTTGAACGAGTCGCTGTGCTGCTTAATGTTGTTCTTCACCATTCGCCAGAAACAGTCGCTCACACTAAAACTAAGATTCTGCGTGGTGCACTGTGAAGCACTGAGCACACCATCGCGGCAAAGTCGACTGTTTAAGAAAAATTCCTCTTCGTATCTGCGAATGTCTTCGATCTTGTCGTCTTTTCCTCCTTTTCCGGTGACCACAGCGAAATAGCCTGACACAAAAGAAATGCCTAGAATCAGAGAACTCTCCATTTTCCCATTGATGGTATCAATGGTCACTACTGATGTCTACAAATATAAGCATGAAGACAAGGGAAACATTTTATTTTTAGAGAGATACCTTCTGCTGGTGAACTCAGCCGAAGAACTCAGAATGGTTTTGTAGAAAGTAATATTTTATGATCAAAAAGGGCTGATTAAAATACAGCTATGAATATTTTATATGATCAACTTACCTAGAGCTTTCATTGGGAAAAGACGTCCATCAAGAATTTTCTTTATTCGGTTAGGATTAGCCATGTTGATCTCTGCGAGATCAACTTTAGTTAGTACGAATATAGTGCGTTTGCCATCTGGATCTGAACGACTAACGAGGTCTGTCACAATCGAACGTTCTGGGTCCACTGATCCGTCCTGGATGCATAAAATGATTGCGTTCGGGTTGTTCATGTAAAATTCGGTCATTTCTCGGATAGACTCTTTCGTACCGGCTGCCATTTCTGCAGTTGAAGTGCTAATGATTCCTGGCAAATCGACCAACACCATTCTTTGAAGACCAGGCCCCTTGACGCTAAGCGAAATCACATCAGTAGATACTGTTTTTCCATCAGCGACGTTCCTTTGCATTCGGTGCTCGATTTCCCTTCGAAGCTCTACTAGTTCGGATTCTTTAGTTAGGTCGTATTCGCGATTCGAGTCATTGAACTTAGCTGTATGGTCTGCGGCCTCCGAGAGGGTAACTTTGACTGGAGAACGCGTCATCATTTCACCCGCGCCCCGCGGAAAGATACTATATGCACAAAATACAGCACAAAACAGAGACTGTAAATACACAAATTTTTTATTTTGTAAAGCAGGGCTGTCATGTATGTTACTTAGCTATGAAATGATTATTAAAGTTGCCTATTATTGCATTACTCTAATGTTTATATATCGAATTCGAACGTAGCGTGAACCCAATGTTTCTTAATCATTTTCAGCTATCGTACTCACCGCGCCTGAGCGATCATTTCGAGTACTGACGTTTTTCCTGCTGACTGATCTCCAACAACGACTATTCTGGGCAAACTGTCCTGAACATTAAAACCACAGCCGCTCAGCTCATCTAAAACACCTGAGTATATATCGATCAATGACGGTTTTATTTGCCGCCTGAGAAAATGAAATACATTGCAATGAGTCTAACATACGAGCACACTCATTTATGCGAAGCACTGCCGTTCCGACCGATTGATGGTCGCTGTTTGTTGCCATGAGGCCTGTCTTGTAATTGAGTGTATACAAGAGAGCCTACTTGGTACTTAAGTAACGGGATGTCACACCAAACATTACGTATAATATAACTGTTTATTGCATTGTAAAGATCAACACTTTCCTTACCGGGCGGCAGTAACTGACTCCCGTTTCTGACGAACGAGTATGATTTCCCTTCTTAATTCTTTATTCTCCTTCTCTAGCTTTTCTAATTCACGTTGATATTTAATTTGAAGATTAATAAGATCGTTCTGAAGGTTGTTGATTCTCTCCTAAAGTAACCATACAAGCAGAAAATAAAAGGAATTTATATAAAAAGCGTAATTTTCTAGATGAAAGACAACCGGCATTTTTTACAGTGCGGTAGCTTGGCATACGCCTATATAGTGGCAGAACAAAAGATTACTAAAACACCGATCACTACAAATTCAGACCGACGTTTAACAGTAAAGCCCCCATGCGTGCTTACGTATGTTATGTGCATTTGTTATTATTCTATTTATGAATGCAAAATTCGTGAAAGGTAGATACGTATACATTCAGTATTAACTAAAGCGCACCCATAAAATAACACTATCCTGACCGCAAGCATAAATAGCTAAAAACTAAGTTTCTTTACCATCGTAAATGTTTCACGAAGTAATCTTGTTGATGATTCCGCAAGTAAATTTAGGTATGTTAGGAATAGGAACGACACACAAACGGGCGTTAATGGAAAAGTCCATTAATTGAATAAATAATTAAATGAACAACTATCACCCAGCATATATATAAGGTGATGCCGTGGATCTGCTATCTGCCTGATTTCTCACCTGCTCCGTTTTATGCTTTGGCGTTTTGTTTTCGTCACCGTTCGCAAATAGCCCTACTGCGGCTACCGTTCCGCTTCCGATTTTATCTTTTGCGCTACTTGGAGGGACAAAGTTGACTGCATCCAACCACTGGATAAAGCTGGCAAGACCCACAGTGACAGCTTCGCCTCCTATATCAAATATAATTATTATTAGTTCTGTCGAATTCTGTACAGGAAAATATACACTATCATATAGCTAACATCAGAAACATATGAGTTCGTTTTTAGCATTGCATACTAGTAACAGAAAAAGATGCTGTTCCATTGATATTATTAAATGTTCTAATTCTATGCTACTTTTTAGGTCGAATCGAAAGTGTGAATGAATATGATGTAAAACTTACCTCTGTCTTTGGCACTAATGAGAGTATCGCGAATCTTTTTCAGATTTTCATTCTTGGGTACTGCATCTTTAATCCACTCAAAATCTGGAAGATTCTTTTTCCATTCCTCAAATCTGCATGGTTTTATTATAACAAGAAAAGAAGACGCGTAAATAACTACCAATTCGAATTTGTTATAGACATATAACTATCCATAAGAGCTGGCGATTATAAATTAATTCTATGGTTAAGAGGCACTACTTTTTTTAGCGGGAGGTTTTTAGTTAGGAGTTTTTTAGTGGGACAGAAGAGGTTGTTTTTGCAAAAACGTGGTGCTTGAATAAATAACCTGAGTTATAACATCAAGACAAAGCAACTTATATTTTTCATATGAAAATAAGGTTGCAAATATGTACTTGCTTAAAGCTTATTGAAGACTTAGAGCCTTGTAACCGTAGTTCTGCGAACCGCTGTGTTCGCAAGTTGACGAAGGCAGCAAGAACTTACATATCGTCTTAATCATATGCGAAAATCCCGAACGCACAGGTGATATAGATACTCAATAATGTCAATACAATGAGGACTGCAGCGAAGAAATAGGTAAATGCGTAGCTCACCGGCTAGCCATATGCACTCCGCCCGAGAGAGTCCCTCCGAGCACGAAGTAGCGGATTTTCAGTATGCTCCGAAGCAGGCGAGCGGCCATAATAATTCCACGCTGGTGCTGCTTCTGTGACTCGGCCAGCTATGAAAAGAAATCCGTATCCTTTAAATGATGATACTGGCCACTACTGACAGTGCATTTATAGTGCCAGTTACTGCAATTAGTGATTGGTCTGGTATGTTCCACGCACCGTTCCTTCTTATCAGTATATAAATTGACAGCATTTACGCAAGATTTGTATACTGTATGATGTATGAATGCAAGGGTGAGCAGTGAAGATTTTGCGGCAAAGTTACATGTTAAGCCATTACTAGTTGGAAGTTCGTAAGATTATTAAGGAACACAGCTACTTTTTTTATATTCGTCTGACTCACCCAAGTGTTTCGACTCTTCAAAATACCGCCATGCCACTGTACTACGCGCATATGTATTATATACTGTAATAGCTGGTAATACCACTGTTACAGCAACAAAAACTTATGCTCCTTTGACAAGTGTAATTACGGAACCAAATGATATGATCTATCATAACTATTTTTAGATATCAAAGGAGGCTACCTTGGACACGAGCCACATAAAAGCTTACCAAAAGTAGAATCTGTTTATCCGGTGGTTTTCTCGATAGCAGTTGGGGCCTCCTTTTGAGAGCGTGGTAACCCCGCGCCCCTAAGGTCCTTACTGCCTGGCTTCGTAAACGGCTTAACATGATTAAACAAAATGTGCTTGTGTTAAAACAATTTTATGCGCAGTATCACGACACTACCATCAGTTACCCACGAGTCATAAGTTCCATAATACTTATCCCATCGAAGGCGGACTCCAATACCGCCCTATAATGAAATGATCGCTCCGTACTTGAAATGACGTTGAAATCTACAACACGAAAAGAAAAACATCGTATAATGCAACCCAGTACAGATCACACTTGTAGCAATTTTTAAAGCGCGGGACTGCTTGAATATACGAAGTAAAAAAACGTATTAAACTCGTCTATTACAAATGTTGTTTTTGAGGACTCGTATGACTTTCATAATATTACAATAATAATGGTACGTCGCTCGTATTTAATTTAATAATACTACATATAACACAATTAGTCAACGCGGTGTCTTGGGCGGCCATGCCTCTGGTTGAAAGATCCGCTGCTTCAGGTCCCGCCAACAACATATACTATACAACTTATGTGAATGAAGAAAGTTATTTTATAATCCGAATTGATGCATTTGGTGACAGGTCAATTTCTAATAATATGTAGACATCGGAATACACAAATGATAACGATGGGAGACAGTCTCCTAAAAAATTATTGTTATCGCCAATGAGACCGTGGCCTGTCATGGTGTCTACTTCTTTTTTTTTTTTCATAAAAGTAGAGCATCATATCGTTCTAGTAAATAGTATCGCCTAGGTCGTTGGGTTCAATTCGAACTTGCATTGGCGCGTTTCATTCAAATTTTATATTTTCGATTATTTGTTTAAGAATAATTATTGGACGCGTATCCTTCATCAGTGTATGAAAATGTTCTCCGTTCTGAGGCTAGGCTTCCTCAAAAATATTTTATGGTCATTAATCTGGCGCTTTACCCGAAAAAAAAAGTGATAGTCCGCATCACAGAAACGGAAGTGCCGCTCCGCCATCTTGACTTTGCAGTGTCTTTGAGCAGCAGCTGAACTTCAGCATAGCGCGCTACGCGCCCGGTGTTAAACAGTAGCAGCGTCTTTTGTGTTAAAATTGCTAGTAACCCAAATCAGAGTCATGGCTCCACCTAGCTACTCGGATTTGGGCAAAGAAGCTCGCGATGTCTTCTCAAAGAACTATCATTTTGGGTTAGTCAAGTTAGACTGTAAGACCAAGTCGCCGACGGGTGTCGAGTTCACCGCATCTGGTACCTCTCTGAATGACACGGGCAAGGTGAATGGGTTCCTCGATGTGAAGTACAAGCTTAGCGAGCATGGCGTTACTCTGAAAGAGAAATGGACGACCGATAACAGTCTCAACACTGAAATTACCGCTGAGGATTGTCTTTCGAAAGGACTGAAGCTTTCTACTAACCTGCACTTTGCCCCACAAACCGGTAAGCTTTAGTGATGTCTAGATGCGCATTTCTTAAACTTCGAACGTAGCATGCCTTCTCGATATCTATCCGTTCCAATAAACTTTATTTCTCTTTCTATACTTTGGATGATACCAAGATATATGTTGCTCCTTGCCAATCTCTCATTTAATTTCTATGATATTGTCACTAAAAACCGTTATAAACCCGTCCGCTAAGAAATATCGTAGAATATAGGACGGCATCAGCGGAAGCTTAATGTATAAGATTGTGGTCTTTCAGGATCACAATAATTATTGCCATACGTACTCTAGCATGTATGTTTCACGAAAATGCATTGTAGAGATTAGACATTCGATGCTTTAGCGATTTTACAATTACTTACTTATTAATTTTACTTATCTTCACTACCATTTTCACGTGATGCTTTTCAGCAGTCAGAGCAAAATACCTAGTAAAAATATGTAGTATATGCGAAAGGAAAACTTTCGCTTCCTCAATGTGCGTTCTAACTACTGTAGCTACTGCCGTGGTCACAATAACCGGAAGATTATATCCGAACAGAATAAAAATCGGTGGCCGATTTAATAATCCTTTCGGGCCTCCTTTACGACATATGATTGCGCAGATAAGCATTTGAAGACTGTTTCGTAAAAAGGCGTCTATTTTGTATCTCGTGGACTAAGCTTAAGTTCACATTGCTTGCGCCCAAACATTAGCAAATGGAGCACGTTCGGCGCACCTAAAAACGTGCATACCATATGCACGCTGTTTGAGTACAAATTTTGTATTGTATATGAGCTAGAACTGTCGTATAGGCGTCACGTGTTGTCTTAATATGAGTATCATTGTAAGGTCGGTAACTTGCGGCCATTTTATATGCGCCCATTAGTAGGAAACGGCCAAAGCCGCTTCGGTCTTTAAACATATCATTCAATCGGTCACGCATATCTGAACCTTTTATGAAGTCGAATGCGGCGGCCTACTACGTCCACTGTTTAGCATCGAAATCGTGCATACGACGAAAAAAGGAGGTTCCTCATATTCGTTAATTTAGTGTTTCATAAAGGAGAAAGGATTCGTATAGATTTTACAGATTAATAAGTTGATCATGAAGTCTGGGAGACACATTTAAGTTACAGAGTACTAGAAGCCACAATCATTCAGGATCTATCATGCTCACACTGCTATGTGCTGCGCTGTCCTACGTCACACATTTCTGTCCGCCATGAGCGGCGGTGTTTGTATTCCGAAATAAATCATTTATATGTAAGAATGATACTAAGGAGCACTAGCTAAAACTATCATGCCTAACTAAAAGCCAATGAACCCGAAAACACAGGCAAAATAGATGCAGGTCTATATGACATCGTATCGAGGTATCGACAATAAGATTAGTATTTAGGATCCTTTACATCTTACGCAGTTGGCATTCAGCTTAAAAGATTCTTTTTTAACAGACCATATAACCTCTTTTACTTTGGTTATCTAGATCTTACATATATGCATGGTAACAAAACGACACTTTCGCATGTATTTCAATTTCGGGCGCTACTGCATGCTTCAACGTTTTTCCCGGAAGCCAGCTATTTACAGGCGTTACAAAAACGTTACGCTATATTCAGCTGTTTACCAAATCAAATTTGCAATGGGGTTGATGAATGGCAACCCATTTCTACCCATTATGAGAGTATTGCAAATAAAAAGTCACCTGTAGCTATAAATTACAATGACCATCAACAGGCAGAAGCAAAAAGCAATTACAGAAAATAATTTGTTCGCTGGTCTTTTTCAAATTCTTTTGGGTACATCAGGCCTGTATGTAGGGTTTTGGGGTGACGGAGTTGTTTCTTTAGTATATATGTGCCGATATCTCTTTTGTGTTTGATTGCTGAATGATTGTTGTTGTAGGCAATACTTACAGCAGTTTCTCGATTCAGCGCTCAGTTCTTCTCCAAGATTCGAGTCAGAAGCTTACATTTACGTCTAAATGTTCAACGAAACGATCAGGTTCTCGTAACAGAAAAGGCTAAAAGAATTTTAGAATATTAGTATTTAGTTATTACTGTACCTGTGTCTGATTTTGAGGTAAGATGCTTTAGTTACGACATTTTTCTATTGTATGCTTCCCCCTCCCACATAATATGAAGTCAATATTAAGCCGGACGTCGATAGGGATAAGGTGCTCTCGTGAAAGGAACGCTGGTTTAGCACACCGAGTCGAATATTCGAATTGATGAGTTTAGGGTTAATGACTTTACGCGGATGACTACTGATGAACAATGGACGATAGTGTACTAGCTCCATTACTTCCATCACAGTGTATCTACACTTATTATTTTTAGCAGATCCTATATTCAGTTAGGCTGAACTAGCCTGCTGCCTCCATATCACAACGTGCTATAAACATGTTGATTGTTTTTAAAAATAAATGGGCCGTGCTAATCGTTCCTCATGGCTACCGTAGACGTACGATCTAACCCTCACTTCGATCACACAGCGTTTATGACAAGTGGATATGGTTGAAAGACGCCTCTGCTTTAAGACTTCTTTCTTTAAAACTGGATTCGAACAGCGAGCTTGAAATGAGCATACATAGTATGGGCACGTGCCTCAGCATACAGTACTAAATGTGGTTCCGGTATGCTTTAGAAAGCATACCGAAAGCAAACGATGTAAAACTGTTGTGATCATTCTCTGTATTTAGATTTCTGAGTGCAATTAGTACTAAAGCAACCAATATGTACGTTGTTGTTAATATTTTGGTTCCTAATAGGCAAGCGGAATGCGGTTGTCGCGGCTGCGTTTAAAGGCGACAGCTTCAATGCGACAACGGATCTGGACTACAACGCAGGCTCTCCGCTTGTTAACGCGTCTCTGGTCCTATCGCATCAAGGGTGGCTCGCCGGTTCACAGGTCAGTTGACAGATGGTCCTACGTGGTTCCTGTGTCAACACAATTCAGATTTTTATTGCTGTGTGGTCTTAAGTTGATGAGAGAATGATATACAAGGACACGCTCTTAATTTAAAATCTGTGCCAAAAAATTAAAAAGAAAAATATACATTTTGGTGGCACTGAGCTGAATTGTCAAAAAAATAGATCAAATGACTAATAGTATAATAAAAGTAATAAATTGCGTGATTAGTTTATTTATTCCTTGGCTCCACAAATGAAGGAGTAGCCGTTTCTTTCTTTGTTGAAAAACTAATAATGGCAAAATGTAGCTAACAAATAGTCAAGCGAAAACAGTATAGCTAAATTGTAAGTTTAACGTCAACTGTGGCGGGTAGACATAGTAAACCATGGGAGTTAAAAGAAACTGCCGGGTAGAAAATGAGGATTTACATGTGGTACTGCAATACACTGAAAGTACTGATAAGATTGGTGTCCTGTACTTGTGCATAGGTGGCGTTCGACACATCGAAGAACAAGCTAACCAAGACCAACTTCGCGATTGGATATGCCAACAAGGACATCGTGCTACATTCGAATGTAAATGACGGCCAGGTGTTTGGTGCCTCAGTGTACCATGAAGTTCGACCTGACGTTAAGCTCGGTGTATCCATCAACTGGAATTCAACAAATAACAATGCCCAGTTCGGCATCGGTGGCGTGTTCATTGTTGACAAAGACACGTCTTTGCGAGCAAAGGTGAACAATCAGGGATTGCTCGGTCTGGGCTTGACACACCGCTTGCGTGATGGTATCGAAACAACCATGTGTGCCAACATTGATACCAAAAATTTCAACCAGGGCGGACATAAGATTGGCTTCGGCCTCAGTCTTGAGGCCTAGAAAAGACCTATATATAGAGATATATATAGGATGAGAACGAAGACAAAGAACAGAAGAAAAGAAGACAAAAAAGAAATAATAAAGTGGGTTAATCTAGATGACTGCTTAACTCAAGCCCAAACAACTGGCTACTATCAGCTTGTTATTGGAACTGCTGCTTTTCTCGTGGTGCAATTACAGCTACTTTTCGTCGTATGAACGAGATCCGGAAATGTTCTGCTGGCGAAGTGCTCATTCTCCGAATGGCGGCGTTGCTCTCGCAAGTGTGCCGCACTATTGCTGATTGAGCATTTGGGTGTAGCCCTGCGAAAATCCACTAGGGAAAGAATTATTGGAAGCTACGCGGTCCGTTTTCCGGAATGAACAGCACCGCTATCCTCTTAGAAACGAAACGAAATTTTCATAATAGTTACCATAATTGAAGTATGAAGGCTCGTTGTATTTTAAGCTGATTAAAGTTGATGGTGTGTTATTAATTACTATTATGCATGAAATGTCTTAGAAAGTGTAATTTCAAGAGGTCAAACAAATAGATAATATTAATTTATATAGAAGTAGCACCGGATAAAATGACACTCTAGAAGTAGCACAGGAAAAAATGACAACATAAACATCCAATAAAATAAATTAAACCAAATATTATCAAGGTCTCAGGAACAGACGTGAATACTAAAAAAAAAAAAGAAAAACGAGTGAATGACAACGTTGTCCACGGAGGATAGTTAAGAAAAGAGAGCGTGACAAATTAAGCGCAACGTTGTTTTTATCAATGAAAAGTATACAACTACGAATAATAATAATAAACTCCCCCTATATATATTCACCGCGGTCACACGAGTTCTTACTGCTAGATATTGGCTTGTAAGGGACAACGTAAGTCTCATCATGCGATGATTTAATAGTGAATTTCCTACGACGACTTGCGATGATTTAGTAGTGAATTTCCTACGACGACTTGCATATATGGTTGATATGTAAGGGACAACATAAATTTAATCATGCGATGATTTATTAGTGAATTTCCTATGATCACCTGCATATTTGGTTCATTTCTTTAATTAGCATTTTAGCAGCTTATTTTAATTACCTATTTGCTACTAAACTGGAATGCATGGCGTCACAAAAGAACTGAACAATTCTTTTGTAGAACGTATGAATGTGCTGGAACCTAATCGTAACCCACAGTTTGTAAAAATACATGTTCGAAAGAGATATCACCGATTCAGACTTAACACCAGTATAATAATACAAATAAACTTAAATACTGGATAAAATCATGTTTGGAAATATGTATTCGATGACAACCAATCCTTTCGTTTTCAGCTTTATTCAACAGTTACTATTAATGTAGTATAAAGTAGGGTTATGGATATCAGGAGGACGTTATGGGTTCGTTGAAGTTGTAGACATGCTTATATGCTTACTTGGAGACTAGGTAAGCGGAAGTAAAGTGCAACTCGCTAGTTTTTGTTTGGTAGAACGCTGTGTCATCATATAATTTCTAGAAGAGACGATATCTGAGACGGTGATCTATTAGCGGAGCCAGTGATGATAAATACATGTCGCCTGAGATCCTGATACAACCTGTTAGCACCTGGTACGACCATAATCGCTTCGAGTTCTAAAATATAGAATGAACAGTTCATCCCAATTTCTCTTACGATATTCAATAATATATATATATATATATATATATATATTTAGGTCTGGCCAAGCTGTGGTTTATTTAACGACCCGTTTATGCCTCAATGCATCTTTTCATCTGCCTTTAACGAGCGTTCAAAGAAATCAATCTTGCAGTTCCTGTGATCTCGTAACCATGATCTATCGACAAATGGGATCAATTGAAGCTACGTTTAAAAGTGCTTGAAAGGCTTTTACAACCAACAAATGAAATTTTTGCAAGCACAAATACAAGATAGGCTAGAACAGTTCAAAACATAGGGATTTCACAAAGTATAGTTATATTAATGAAAGAACACTAGCAATTTAATGCAGCAAATTGAAACATAGGCTGCCATTTATTAACGTTAATGAGGTTTCATATGTTTTCAGGATTCGGGATGTCTGAATATGTCAAAAAAAAAAAAAGAGATTTCCTATTTCTTCTAGGAGCATAACTTTGCACACTAAAGGTAACGCGACAGCTTTGCTTTAGAAGCTGATGTCTTCGCAGAATCAAAAAAAAAAAATTTAATTCATTCGCCAACTATATTCTTCTTAAATGACAACAAAATCAGAACAAGAGAGAGCTTCATGTTTATGAACTTTAATCAATGTAATCAGACCAGTGTTAACTGAATGGTTAAATTTCGACTTAAATGCTCCTTTAACGGTGTATCTTTCACTCACACACTCCTAATACCAAAATTATAAACTGTTCCATTGCGCTCGGTTTCGTGTTGTTTATAATCCACACACTTTCTACAACAGCGGACAAAATGCAATTGTTATTAGATAATACAGAACTGCTAATCAAAATTAGGGAATGAGAAAATCTCAATTGTTCGTGGCGCACGCGTATCACTAATACGTTTGCTGGTTTTTCTCAACTGCTATAGATCCGTTGCGCTCACGAAGCGCAGCGATAAGTTGAAGATTTTTCTTTCGCATCCAGCTGCGGAAGCATCGACTTCTATGATGACATCACAAAACTTGTTACAAGAGGTAACAATTATGTTTATTTTAAGTTCGTTATATCGTAAGATTCGATATTTATTGAAAATACTGTTTCCAAATCGATGTGTTCCCTTACGATCTCGCTATGTATTGCACACGACATTTAGAGAATTAACATCATTTAGTTTTTCATCCATTTCCTCTCGCACGGGTGTCATTTGACAAGAAAAAATAGCCAGCATTTCCATCCTTTTGCTGTGACGAGCATTTAGATGCAAACTATCACAGTGTACTTGTTTAAATAAGCAGAAAACTTTTGTTGTTTTTAATTTCCTTTTTGTTTGTTTTCATATTACTAATAGGTCGAATAGAATATAGATGTTCGTCAATTGAAAAGTGATCATCATATTGAGCCGTTGGCGTAGCTTTTTTCGTATATAGGTTTATTAGAAGTAAAACCTTTATATAATAGCATTTCCGAAAAACCTACAGAGTCGAACACTTATCATTCATTTATTATATTTTTGTCCTTTGACGGTACCGAATACCGAGGAGGTCAGTATGTCATATATCATAATAGAGTTACTATCGTATACTGAGATATGGATTGGGAACTTTGCTGAATGAGGTGTTACAATTATTGCAGCCAGCTTAATCTAGTAGCACCCAGCACCCATTCAGCACAACTGTATTCTAGGTTGATGCACACAATATACAATACTGTTTGTCTAGAAGTTGTTCTTACGCTCCTCGATAATATTCAGTCATCGACTATTACTCCTTTACAAACTTTGTACATGATCACTTCGGCAGCGTAACTGCCGCTAAAATGGTTTTTGTAGAGCTGCCTAAGTTTGTATCGCGTACAAGAGAGATACACAGTACACAACACAACTGAACTGCGGTAACTATAGGGAATAGTAGTTAGGGATACTCGGTAACTGCATCCCTTGTTTGCACAAAAACTTCATCCCCGAACCGTTTCTTCCCGACATGGCGGACAGTGAACTTTAGTCCAGTAGTCTCTTGGTCACCTCTTTGCGGCCGCGTCTTCATTCAATTCAAGGTCTTCTATACAACACTGTTTTGCCATGCATAACATTTTGTTCTTCATTCCCAAACAACGTGATTCAACAAAAACCACAGTCTATATATATGTATATATATTATATATCTATATGTGTAAGCTCAACAGGCAACAGAAACCGTGAGTGTCAAAGTCTAATAAGAGTGTACGAACACGTATCACATGATACTGCAAAGTCCGCTCATCTCGCTACCCTTCTGTAGAGGCGGTAGATTTTTAAAGCGAGGATCAGGTGAAGGGGGCCTCCAATCTCCAGCGGTGTCGTGTTCATCATCGTCGAGGGTTTCGTGCAAACTGGGTTCGTCTAATGCCTTTGTATCACCACTACTCGACTGTGCGTGGTCGGCGTTGATCACGGTCACAACACTATCCTGTTTCACCTTTAAGACAAACCCACCAGATCCCTTAACAATGACCTTCAGCTCCTCTTTTGGAGGCTCTATTTCTTTCAGATCTGCTGATTCATCGTTTAACGTTTGGCTGGAGATAGAGTTGCCCTCCGTTGCTGCCTCACCAGCTTTTAGCGATAATTCCGCTTTATCATCTACTACTAATGATACGCTCGCGCTGCTGTTTACACCAAATTCGCCTAATTCTTCCACAACGACGACAGACTGTTCTTCGACACGATTCATATCATTAGCTTCGTCCCCTTCCATCTCCTTACAGAGCTTCTCTTCTATGGACTGCTCTTCGATCTTGACATCAACTGGCTGGTATTCTTCATCCGGCAAGGCACTTTCTTCAGCTTTCTTAATTGCTTGAGGATCGTCCGCTGCTTCAACAGAGGGATCGAAATCGAGACCCGGAAGGGGCTGACTACCTTCGTCAAGAATAGCGGCCCGTTTGGGATCTGGTACAGATGCCTCAACGCATGTCTCAACTAAGTCTGCGGATTTCTCAGCACCTGGGGACTGCGGTTGGGCATTGTTGTCTTCAGAAACGGCAGCCGGAACGAGCACGGGCTTGGGTACAGGCTAAAAGAATAATATAGAATACGAATATATATATATATATATATATATATATATTGAAGAAGATGGATATGAATTCCGGCAGTTAAAATAAATGAAAATGAAACAAGCATGTTAATAAATAGTTTATATTTTTGGAATGATGGACTACCGCAATGGCACTTAGGCGATCTTTCCCCGAGCAAATACGCTTTATAATCTACAAAAACTGCGCTATATATCAAGCTGGCAACAAATCAAATTTGACAATATTGCAAAACGACGGGATCCAAAGCAGCTCTTATGAGTTAGTCGTTTTTAGTTAAGCGTTGATTGAATAGAAATTCAAGAGATCACCGTGTGCAGAATATTTTCGATATGGTATCGACTTTGACTGCAAAGGCGCAAAGTTTGTATTTATAAAACACAATAATTGTATCATGAATGAAAAGAAACATCACTTAGCACAAGCACTTGCCTTCAAGTAGTCCTCGTGACAGATGGGATGAAACAACTTATCGTCGACTAAAAGAGCGTTCCGTAAACGCCAATCCTCGGAATCTTCGCAGAAATATTTCTCGAACGACTCGTGGCAGTGCTCGCACGACTGCGGAGTTAATAAAACAGCACAATTTTAGTGCATGGCACCAAGTTTCATCTCTCATGTTTATAAGCAACGTTACAGAAAACGTTTGCGATTACACAATGTAGTTAACTAACCATTGATAATCTATAGAAATGAAAAATACGATCTTACACCACCATAGAGTTGCCTTGATATCGCTAGCCATTAGAATAGACCTCATGACTAATTGCACTTACATAGACAACGTCCTTTGGGAGCTTGGCAGCCTCCACACTGGGGAGCTCATGGACTGAGGATTGGAGAGCTAACCCATCCTGACTATTGCTCTCGTGCTGTACTTCCAGCTGAAAATGGGAACATGCACTACTAATAATAATAATAATTTTTTTATATTTACAAAGCTAACTTTCTTGAAAAAAAACACTTGCATTCTTTAGATTTTGAATGAGTCACGCAATATCATAAAACAGGTCAACAAATGTCACTCATGGATACATAGATGTGATCTTACTAATGTCTACGTAATCTAAATATGAAATTAGATCATCAGCCAGTGTAATACCATACTTCGGTCGGCGACTAATAATGTATCTATAACAAATAAGAATTACTTTCTGGAGAATAATAAGAAGCATGTGTATATATGTATAATTTAGCAGAACCGTTGCTCAAGAGAAGGATGTGATAGCAGCAAGCCTAGCCAAAGTTAACTGTTTTATAAAACAACGAACTCATTACCGGTGTATGAAAAGCGTTTTATCAAATTAAGCATAAAGTTGAGGTAATAGCTAGTAATAGTATTAGCTAGTGTTAAGGTACTTCTGGAAGAGTCGCTACAATTGTCAACTTGTGACCATCACTTATCAACGATATTTAAAACGCAAAGTAAAAATTAGATCAACATTATTTCTGTAAACAATATACGCCTTAATTAACAACCCTCTTAACAGTTCATAAAGTAACTGGACATACTTGTTCCTCAAAGAAGTTCCTCGCACGCTCATCAAGATCTTCAATTTCCTCAAAATCAATCCAATCCGAAATGCAGAAAAACCATTTGCGACTGCTTGCTTTTCGTAAACCTTCTCGCCCACGTCTTTTCAATCTAAAACAAGTGTACACATACAAAATATGACAGCCTTTCAATATACCATTGTTTGAAAATAATCTGACGGATTATCTTCTTTTAATTACGGGTTTGCAGCGTACCAAATGCTACACGTTGTTTCGTACTGCGTCTACGTAAGCTAAAATTTTGATTTAAGCTATAAACGGTAAGAATTAGCCGTTGCATATGTATATTAACCTTATTAAATCTTTACGGTTAGCAAATACGAAACTTAATATTGATTCAAAGTCAAATTAGTACATCAAAAGCGATCTAAAGCATATATACATAAAAGCATAATATACACTTTCGAGCAGGTATGTGCTATTAATTAGATGTCAATGAATAAATCTCTATTAAGCAGCAAATACAGACTTTGCGCTTGCTTACCGAAAATGCCAATCAAGATGCTGTGCATATTTGTCACTAGTGCTCTTATCTCCTTGTTGGAAACGCTGGCCGCAAGCCGAACACTGGACACCCTCATGCAGTGCCGAAATGACGCCTCCAATCCGCCTGTTGTTAAACCCAAAAATTAGTTGCTACTAAGATGTTTGTCGTTTAATAAGAAAACGGTTGCGATAGTATTTCGGACCAAAAGTATGGTAGTAGTTAGTGAGTCAAATGCGTTGTTATCTCTGTTATTTTTACGTTTCTGTCAGAAAATTCAGTACAATCTTCAACCAGTTGACTCTGATAACTTTCGTAACACACGTCCGGTGAAAACAAGTTCCCACAGTACAAGAATAATATTGCAAGTCGACGGCAAGGATTATTCACCGGCATGCAAACGGGTGACGTGAGATTTATTTAACGCATATGACAATATTTTTTGGAATAATTCAGTTCTAACATATACTAGATTCTAGTCAAAACTTATTTATGAACCTAGCCGAAATGAAGAAAAAACCACGCATGATGCTTAGACAATGCCGCTGAAACCATATTTCAGACTAACTGTTTAAGAAGGGCGGGCTGCTTGAAGTTCAGTTGTGGAATCTCTTCCTTTCCCGAAGGCTGATCCTTTGTAGTATCGCCTCCGTCGATATTTTTATCTCTTTCTTTCTTGTTATTTCCATTGGCTGAAGCATCATTGGCACTTGACGACGTGTTGCTAATAAGTCCTTGCTCGACGAGTTTGCTCAGTAGATCAGAAACGTCAAGCTGACCGCTACTGCTTCCTGGAGTTGTAATCTGTTGTGTGTTCATGGGAGACATTCTTTGTGGCTGAGCGAACGAAGCGGGGGCTGGTGGAGGAAGCGAACCCCCGCTAAGACGATCTAGCGGACCTGCTGTCGGAGGAGGAGGCATCATTTGAGGTCGGCCAAATGCTGGATGCGAGTGAAAAGTAGTCATCGGACCCGGTGGTACCGAAGGCGGACAGGGCGGACCTCCGGGAAATCTGTTTGGAGGGCCTTGAAGTGGACAGCTGGAAATAAGGTTCGCATATATAAATGTCAATCAGCTGTTAGCATCAACACTGAACGGAAGGCTTGCACGTACAGTACGCGCAATCAAAAAAATCAATTCTTATTGGCTCAATAAAATAATTGGACGGAGTAGCTACGTACCCAATGTTGGGTGGCATGGGCGGGGGAAAGAGACTCGGAATAGGGCGAACTGAAGGGGGCGGAGGAACCTGCGGCAGCGGTTGTTCCTCCTGATAGCGTACCCATCCCTATAGCAAAATACAAGGGATCACAAAATACGCCACAATAACGGTAATTAACGATAACATAACTGACAAAATTATCCCTTCTTCATGAGACATCCATCTGATTCGATTCTGTACACAATACCTACAACCAACTGGAAGTTAATCCGTTCATGATCAAAATACACTTACAGACAACCGCAACTTCTTCCAATTTAACTTTTGGCCTAATTTTGCGAAGATGATGTATGTATCTAGTATGCTAGAATTTGGTAAATAGAATGGTAGGGTTGTAAGAATAAAAAAAGCGTGTCTATTTGTTTGTCTTGTTCGCTAGGACGGCAAACGGGAAAGAGTTACAGGGTATTAAAGCGATATTAAGTCAAACTAAAAACTGGTAAAAAAGAAAAAACGTTTGAAAGTATGAAGGGGCAAGATTTTTATACAAGCATTTCCATTCGGTTAAAAGCTTTATATCACCTGCAGATGTTGGCATTCCGTTAATGGCATCAACACTTCTAATGCGATGCCAATCACTAAGTCACTATCAGAACACAGAAAAAAAATATCACATCCTCAAACAACATAGCATTATCGAGTAATTAGTAAAAAAAATGCTTTGATTATCAAACTTTAGCACCAGCAAAACCAGATTGATTCCACGTAGCAGGCATCACTGCCATGTGGAATGAATATATTCAGCAAAAACAATCGTTCCGATCTAAACCTGCTAGGCCACGCAGGTTCTGGTAGAGCATCCTTTTGTGGAACGTCCCGCCCGTGTGTGCTGTCGCAGTCCAATTCGATCCGCTTCCAGCACCTTATGTGCACCTAATCACGAAGATTCCCAATTATAGATCCGCCTTATGTGCGAATCAGGTCCTAATTACAATTTGCACGGATTTGACTTTTCTTCAACGAGGACAATACGACGACAAGACATGATGATAATGATGACTCAGTTTCCGTTGTCAGCATCGTAGTTAGGAGATTTACGAACGATAAGTTCGGTCGACTCCTTGGTTTCTTGCTTTTTTTCCGCTTACTTCAATTTTAACCTCTTCCCTACCCATCAAAGCACTAAAAGGAAAGACAAGCCCACATAGCCCAACAAACAAATGTCTTTATTGCACAAAGTTCGTTCATGCAGACTGAGTTTTTTCTGAAGCACGGAATACAGTCTGTTCACATGACACGGGCAAGGTTTGCCGCTCACAGCCTTCACCATATGGATAAACTACTGCGCAGACCGACACCTGCCGAGTGACTTCATCGACATACCTGTTTGCCTTCGTATAGCCCCGTTCCCAAAAATGGCTAATGATGAGAACAATAATAATAATAATGACAATAATAATAAATCGAGGTAATCATCTACAATCATCCTGCCTAAATGAAAAGTCATAGTGACTCTCAGCAGCGCCTCATTTTATTCAAAATCACCGTTGCGATCACCAAACTTCTTAGTTATATGCATCTTTTTTTCATTTTTTGTGAATGGTATCATCGCTCACAGCACACACGCACACGTCTATTTCGTCGACATTGAGCAATTTGCATTCGGTCTCTTAATGCTTTATTGTTAGAAGGTCAATGAATAGAGGTTCAGTCCTTTGTTACGAAGGTAGAAGGAAAAATAATTTTATGTAAATGTAACTAAACTAATCACATATAAATGTAGCTATATACCTTGAGCTAGAATTCACACATATTAGAGCTCAATTGACGGACCATCCAAGAAGCTGCTTGGTGGCTGAAGTTTGTTTTCAAAGGGGTGGCAGGCGAAAAGAGCAATAATGAATGGCAAACATTAAGCAAATCTATGGACATTAAGCCCCTGACGGTTTTAGCGTCGCCCTAACGAGACGCTCGCGTTAGTCACTGTTTGAATGATGAGGCATTCAAAAGGGAAAAGTATGACAAGCCTATCGCATGTTGGTGAATTTTCGCTTGTAATGATATCTTCAGTGGTAACTGATATCCAACACCATCGATCCCCTATTTTTTAAAACCTGCTCTTATAGTGAGCTCGGATGTGATCGATACACGGATAGAAGAACTTCAAAAGCTGGAGAGGTGATATGACTAAGTAATAGCAAATAAATTGCCATCGTTATAAAATGAATTTGAATAATGTGGAAGAGCCTTGTTGGTCTGAATATAAGATAACGTTTAAACTGCAAGGACTTTTTACAGCGCATATACTACAAACTTTACTAACAAAGTAACCAATGTGATATCTGGACATTGTCGAAATTGATAATGATCTAACAACCTATCAATCTCTTATAGGAATCACCCTTGTGTTCTTAGTAAATTTAATGTTAAAGCTCTTGTCACTGAATTGAGAAATTAGTTGAAATAACTTGTCGGGCTTGACAAGTACTGTTATATACTGTGAATTTGTTATCAAATCTCACTTCATATTCTTATGAGTATTTATCCTGCTCTCTAGGCTACTCGTATTTCGCGAAAACCACTCCAGCATTGCTCGCTTCTTCGATCCGTGTAACTTCTCCGTGCCCGGCTACTTACCCCTGCGACTCCTCTTACGGAGTTTGTAGGCCCGCTGTCCGCTGCCCCATTTACGCCTGGGGACCCTTGAGACACCCCTAAAGGTCCTGCGGAGCCTAGGTGTCCTGGCACCGAACCTAGGGTGTGCATAGGCCGTAAGCCAAGTTTTGCGAGTAATTCAGGGCCAGCTGGTCGTTTGTCACAAACCGTAGGGCAAGGCGGAGGCAATGCCACCACAAAAACGTCGTCCCCACTTTGCACCTTGATTGGCCGTCCATCAAACTGACACGAATAAGGCACGCCGTCTGTGAATTTTCGCATGAAAGGTAATGTTAAAGCTACATTTTAATTTTCTACCTCCCGTTTTATAGTTTTGTTTATGGGATTGGTTGACTATTCCTATAGACAGATTTATACTGCTTTTTAAGAAAGGCTCGTGTACGCACACACCGAAGAAATATTCTCGCAGTTATAGCCGAGATCTGATAGTGAAAGGTAAAATTGAACAGATTTTCTGCGATACCAACAAGTCGGATGAAATACTTGATTGCTCAAGAGGTTCTTCCCTACTTCCCGAAGCACTGAAAGTGATAGTGAGTAAAGACGATTGCTGTTCCAAACAGCTATGCAGTGCTCTAACCGTGTGCTTTTCGCATGTTTACCGCGCGTCCAAAAAGTCATTCTTGGTGACCATTCTAACTCGATAAAGTGTCTTTACCCTTTCACGTCACTAGCTTCATCAGAAGTACAATCGACAATTAATAAGTATGATCACATAATATCACACAGCAAAATATTATAGATGTGCATAGAAAATGAGCTATTTTTGTCGTACATGTCGGGCCCCTCAGGGAATAGTATACTTTCAGAAATATTAGGTACTTCCTTTTGTAACCGACTGCATAGACTGAATCGTGTAAAATAGGTAGGTAACATGTGTATTTGTGTATTTGCTCTAGATGCCATAAAACGCTCTTGCTAAGAAAGGCAGTAATTTTCTCATCTCATTCGACCGTAGTAGTTGAAATAGGTGAAAAAAATTGATCTAGCAGATCAATTACTCCCCGGATATATCGATGATTGTACAAGAAACACTATTTCGAGCAAGAAAGGGAGGGAATGTGTATATCAAAAAAACGTTTTTTGGCGACTATTTCCAGTCGATGAAGACTATCCCAATGCAATTGATTCTCACTGATAGAAATTCAGAGAGTTAAAAGCAATGTGATAGACGGAACTCTACATCTGTCCTTATAAAGAACTAGAATGCGTTATATTGGACGATTGCAGTAATTAAGCAGCGTTTACCGAAGTTAACTTTCTCTTCTACTTAATTTAGCACGCACGGCAATATTCTAAATACTTGTCCGTACAGTGTGAGACTCATTCAGCATTTCCTATCATGAGACTACTTTTGGAAATACCTGGTATCTTAGAAAACATAAATCACTATTTCCCGTCGGCATTAAGCGCCTGTTAATATTAACGGTAGCTATTTCAAAAATTTACTGTAGTATTAACAGGTTGCTTAATTTTAATTAAAAAATCACTACTTCCTGAATTTCTCGTAGGTAATCGATGGTACCAAGAAACAAAACTATTACACAATGACCCTTTACAGCTGAAACTTGTTTCAGTACTTTATTGGGCTCACTGGCGTTTAGATTATACCAAATAAAAAACCTGAACCGTTTATATAATATAGGGCGTATAAAAAAGAAGACTCTTACGAGATTTTCTCACATAAGCGCAGATCTTCCCGATGGAATATCTCTCGAACAGGTCCATATTTTTCACAGTGGTATCTAGTCGATCATATTTTTAAAACTAAATCCTTAGCGGTTTAATCAATATTCTCATTTCACGGTGAACAATGTCTCGTCTGCTGAGCTCTACTATCCCATCAAATATTGACTTCTAATTCGAAAGTATCATACTTCACTCCGCTTAATTCAAGACGACATCTTGGGTCAAACGAAAACAAACTATCTAAAAAAAATGTTCATGGTCTGCCTCACACATATTTGAGTTGGACTATCAATATTATATAGCGTTTCGTTGACATAGAAGTAACAATTATCAAAAACCTATTAAATAAGTAATAAACCAAATATTAATATACCTATAAATATATATATATATATAAGCTATAAATAAACCAAAAACCTAAATAAGTAAGATCTTACAACGTTACAGCGATATCTATATATTTTACAACTTGCAATATAACTACTAATTAGTTCTGGAATAGCGATTCAGTATTGCTCCTTCAATAGCTATGACTGCTCTTTCTTGTTATCGGCCATAAAAGATAACATTATTTCAGTAATAGTCTCTGCTGTGTCACTGTATTAACGACCACTGAAAATATCAATTTCAAGCAAAGTGCCCGTTTAGGTTTCGGTTTATAGAAGCATTAAATATGCTCAATTCGGAAATGCCATTTGCCCTTTAGATCTCTTTCTAAACTCCAAAATTGTAACATCATAAACCTGAATCATAACGGCATTTCACATCTTACAGTACAGTAATCAATCGACTCTTAATTATTTTTTTTTGTGTCCAGTGGTAAAATGTCTGCTTGTTTGGGGATACACTGTAAGCCGCCGACTCCATTGTTAATGATTAGTCTGTTCGTTATGAATTTGGAATTCTTCAGTCGATTTGGTACGCTAAAAAATTTAATTTTAGTAACAAAAATGTCTGTCTTGATTTAATTAAAATAATATGTCACAGTGCACAAGGGATAATTGAAATTAAAATTTTTCGATTCCAGACAAAAAGACTGAGGTAAATATGTGAAAAAAGAAACCTACCAATGTACAATTCTCTTAGAGGAGCGCCAAACCGGACGCGGTGAGTGTTCCCGTTCACAGTAAACTCGTGGTCGTCGCCGTCAAAGTTGGCCATGACAAATTGCTAAAATAAGTACATTCATTAAACTAAGCAAATAATTAAGTGCAAGCAAACATGAACAGTATTATGAATGTTTCCATTAATGTTGTAATAAAACAAAAAATTGCGTTTATTAAAGGAATGGCAGAAACGCGGGTCAAGGAGAATACTGTACCTAATTAAGACGAGTGGCTAGTTGACTGTGGAAGACAGTAGAAGGAAACGGATGCCTCAGGCATACAGAATGAAGAATACTAAAAAATATTATTTCTTTATGGTAACTATTCGGGTACTTTAAGATATATCGCCTCTAGATATAGTGGCTCTTCTTTATTTTCACATTTCCGCCAGAGTTGCTGAATAATGATATGAACTTTGTGACTCGCCGCGCTCAAAAATCGCCAACAAAACTGTCAGAAAGAAATACAATATCCTGGTGTCATATATAACTATGAGACAACATAACGGACGCCCAAGAAAAAAGCTGAAACGTATTGATAGACGCAGATATGACTCATTTCCCAGAGACAGAAGCTTTGGATGCATAAATCGGCATTGTTGGTCCCCTTTGCCGTCAACCTACAAGTTGTGTAGACGAGTTCTAATGCTTTACTAGTACAAGGAAACAGTTCTAATCCTCAATAGGTAACAGTATCAGATAGTGTCTCGTACATGCTCATTGATGACGACAGGTCTCGGATTGCCTCGAAAACAGACAAGTCTGGCTTTGACCAGATTCGGAGGAGCCTCTTCCATAACCGCGACGGCAACTCCATCGACGAAACGGATGTCTCTCATTTGTCGGTCAAGTAAGATCTGGCCGAATTCGGGGGCTGGTGCTGACCCTTTATCAAAAATTGGAAAAATGTAAGTATGTTAGTCCGCGACATCTGTGATTACGTGACAAGCACTCTAATTATGTACTAATAATCAGTAAGATACAGAATTTATTAGGAGACCTAGAAGGAAAGCTTATATATATAAAATACTTACACTGGAGACTGTTGAGAAGCCTTAAGTTAACCCTATCGGGTTTACGTTTATGTGAAGCGGGAGCAAATCCTGCATGTACATCTCCAGACAGCGCGATTCGTGTTCCACCTGCAGTCGCTGAGGGACCTCGTAGGAGCCTTTCCGCTTCTCTGACTAGTTGTTCTGCTGATAGAGCATTTCCAGCAGTACTTTGGTCCAGGGGTGTTGCATGTACGTTTTCTACATTTAGACTGGGAGCATCTTTAACGATACCTGCGTTTGAAACATTCCCAGTTGTTTCTATGGGGCTTGTAGTTACCGGGGGAGACATTCGCTTTTTCGAACGCGGATCTGAAAAGCAAACATAGTTAGCATGGTCTTCTATGCTTCTTTTGTTGTGTGTCATTTTTCCATGATTAAAATGTTACTAAATAGGGACTACTTTCCAGATCGAATTGAAGAAACCTACCCCTATTACTGCCATGACCACTCGAAGTTCGCGAATGACTTGTATTAGTTTGAGCCTTCTGAATTTCTGATGCTGTCGAAGTAATTACTGATGCTGTTGTTGTCGTTGTTGCCGTCTCCGCCGTTGTGCCCGTTGGCGACGCGATGTGTACCGTCGCGGGATTTTCTCGTGGGCTCGCTCCCTTTACAATTGGACTTGGCGTTTGTCCCGGATAGGAAATCGCTCCTTTCGGCCTAAGTACACTCAATCAGATTAGAAAACAATGTAACTGCCATCAAGACATGCATCTTGCTTAAGATTACAAAGACCAAAGAATTCAACTAAACGGTGTCTAACATGAGCAGTTTTACGTAACTTCTACTCATGCTTCAAATCTACGTTATTCCATGGATACACGCAGCTTGAAGGGAAACGAAGCTTGTTATACCTTGGTGTTTTTGAGTGTACTTCGATTCTTTCCGGAACAACGCTCCAGATACGCAGGTTCAGAAATTTTAGCCTAATTTCCTTTTACTTACAGTGGTAACACATTATTATACACATTTAACGCATGCTGCATCATAAGCTTCGGACCGACCGATCCACAATCAACTATTGTTCACATGAAACCCGTCCCCAGCGCGTTCCCAACATTAGTGCTCAAGGGCTTCAATTGAGTATTCAACTTGCTACTCTAGATTAGATTATTTTACAGTAAAATCTTTCGAGGCTACCACATTACCTCTCACCTTCTGGATATTCCGGCACGTCACACGTTACAGGTCGAGTATTAGCGCCATCAATTTTTGGAGCTGGTTGTTTTACCACAAATATGCATTCAAATTCTTCGTTATAGATTATACTATCTACTAAAGACTTAACTAATTGTAGAGCGCACGCGCTAACTCACTAAACGTAACTGTTTCCGGCTTGATGTACCTATTTGGGTACGAAGTCAGCAACAAGTATTCGCAATACAAGTCTTTCCCATTTGTACATCTCTAAAATTATATACTATACATGTGCTGCCCTAAAAATATTTCAATAAGCTTTCGAAAGCTTGAAGATTGCATAGCTTCCTATGACTTTGACCGACAAAGTCGTTTTTAATTAGCAATTCAAGACCTGTCGATTAAATAGCCCTTATTAAAAATAAGTATCCTAAATACCAGCGAATATTCCCTTGGGTATTCGCATCTTTATCCCATCATTCACAAAGCGTTACCTTTTTAGCCAGTGCAAAGGAGCAGAATATTTTTTTTTCTGTTATCGTTTCAGTGCGGAAGAATCCAATTTCAGAATGGTAACGTGTTGCAAACAAACCTGATCCTGAGATCGGTGTCTTCTTTACTCGAAGGGAAAGCTGACGATAACACGGAGGAGGTGGTTTCCTCTTTTCGTCGCTTGGCACGTGGTTCGAAAAGCCTAAAAGTTATTCAGACTTCAGCTCAGTAACATTCAGACAGTCACAACTGTATTTTCAGTATATTTATGTAAAAAAAAAAACTGTAAAATCGCCCTGCATGCGAATAGAGCACATTACCTGATTTAAAACGTACCTGAGGTCGACATCTCCTGTTAGGATTGTTGCTGCTTCTTTGTCAGCAAGTGTGAGACGGGCTCCTGTAGCTGGGGGGTTTCTTGGCGGGGCAGGTGGCGAAGAACGCCTTTTCGAATGATGAGACGTTTTTCTCGCAATGGCCCGTCCCCCACCGCTGTCCGGCGGCCACGTTTTAGCTTCATCCAGAACTTCTGTTCCACTACGGGCTGTTGTTAATGAACTTGAAGTTTTCTTGGGTATTCGAAATTTAGAAGAAGACACCTGAAAATAAACAGTAGGCCAGTTGACTCATCAAAATTAAGTAATTGCAAAAAACTACTGTAATTATATAATACACTTTTTAGAGTAGAACACGATTCGGGTTACCACTGGCGAAAACCATTAAACAGTTCTTAAGTACCTGAGATTTTAGGATCAATAAATTACAGGTTGATGATATTAGATTAATAACATTTAGAGATGGCGCTTTCTGCCAGCAGCAAGTTAATCATTCAACGACAAGGAAGACTTGTATAATTTGTGACTATCCAACCTTGTGGGGCTCATCTTGTTTTCGCCGAGGATCACCAATCATTGCTGCCAGTGGACTTATGTCTTTAGTACTGATATTGTTGTTGACGACAACGCTCGCGTTGTGAGCCTTTTCGGCTTCCTTCCGGATTTTGTCGCGATCACGAAAACGTTTCGGTTTTTTCGATTCACTATCTTTAAAGTCAACATTCTCATTCGCTTTTTCTATGTGTACTGGTCGTCCTATGAGTGAGTCCTTCTGCTGAGAATACAACACAAGACAGAAGATCCACCGGCAAACATCAAAGAGAAATGAATATTAGTATTAACTACCAAACCCAATTGATGATTACTCTATTCTAAGCAAACATGGGAGTTACCTTGTAAACAAGTGACTGCAGGTTGCGCAATAATCGTTAATATAGAGCAGCAGCATATCCTTCGTAGCTCTCAATTATCGAACGTACCTTTCTATACTGCTTAACTCAAAGTCCTACAATGTTTCCTATAAACGTAAAACGATCGTAAGTGTATTCGAAGCTAAAACCTTCGTTCGCGGATGGCCTCGTGTTATTGTTTTGCTCCCTCGGTTTTGTTGGGCAGCATGGACTTGTATCTGCGGGGGCTGTTGCACCTGAGGTGAAGTAGGTTGTCCACTTAGGGGAGACTTTGGTTGTACTGTTTGTGATTGCTGCTGGGCTTGCTTCAATGCTGCTGCGGATTTGTGCGCGATCTCATCTCTTTTACGCCGCAGCTCCTCCTGAATCCGATCAAGCTGCTTCTGTCTTTCATCCAGGCTTTTTAGCTCGGATTCCGTGCCACGAGCAATTTCCAGCTAAAAAAATGATGTTAAGATACACTTAACAATACTGCCCACCGTTTATTTAGATTCTATTCAAATTTTATAATTGGATATTACAATTAAACTATTTGTCATTTTATGCTAAAAACAAAGCCTTCGAAGAATCGTGGTTCGATTTATGTTTCACAGGTTCACTGTTTTTACCTTTATTCATGACTCATGAGTCAGTGCGCTGAGGGCTGCTTTGATAGATGTTAGTAACACATCACTAATGAAACTATCTCATACATCAGAGGCAGTTACTTAAAGGCTTTAAGATGTGCTAATGAACCTCCTAAGTGAAGTCAACGAACCTCAGAGGGTGGTTTTTTGAAGAACTTTGGATTCACGTGAATAGGAGCTGCGGCGCATACCGGCCAGTTCGGATCGACGGCTTGCGTGTTTAAATCTAGAGCGTATAACTTTCGTTCTGGAAAAATGTCCTTCCATGTTTGGCGCAATTTGAATAAAGCCGTTCGAACGCGTTCGTCTCCCTGCAAGCACGGTTAGTTTAAGGAAGTCAATGTTGTTGTGGTAGTAATAGTAGGAAAGATATGATTCCTATTATTGTCACTACTAACTTTTCCTACTAGTATTTTATAATAATTTTCTATTAAACAACTTTACTTAGTTGCCAATAAACGAATTTAACAATACGTATGGAAGGTTTTATAATATCTGTATGTTGACAGTCAGCGCTCACCTATATTTGTCCGAAAATACCTATTTAAAGTGGCTATTTTGATCTGATTTTTTGGGGTAAAAGTTTAAGTTCGTGGCTCGTTGTGCTTCCAACTCTTAGCTAAATATTTTCTTCAGGGGGGAAATACATTACGAACCTGGAAGCATAACCGTTGCCAATTTTTTAAGGTGTAATATTAAAAATGTTTTTTCAAGCTCTGCAAAATCGACCCACAATAATAATAGTAACAGTTGTTCGACTGAAGAATAAATGGCATACTCCTTATGGAAATTTTAAGAACTTATATGTCGAAAGGTAAAAGTTGAAAAAGGGATTTATTACTCTAAAAACGAATGTGACAATATCTAGGGATCATAAGTTCTAAAATAGGGCGGGATTACTTAGAAACTGGGGTAACGCAACGATGACACAGGTAGGCCCGCAGCTGAATAACATTGTTAGATGAGGTAAGGTCTCGACGATAAACTGGGGTGAGCAGCTGAAGGTGAATTTTATATATAGAAATAATAGGATCCGTTCGGGTTTACACTGGAAAGCTAAAGCCAGTAAGTTCTCTAGAAGAAAATATTTAATGTGGTAATAGATCAGTTTTAAAATATGGCGGAACCACTGCAATTGGGCTAATTCAAATAATGTAAAGAAAAAACAATTGGAACCTTCTGAGTAAAGGAAAACGCGAAGGGGAATCATTGAGATTGTGCAGCAGAGTAACTGTAACATCTATGTAGCTCACGTCGGATGCACTACGGCAATATGAACTGTACCAAGGTAAAGGGATCACTGACACATAGTAATTGATTGACAAAACATGGAAATGGAATTACTGTACACGTATAATTGCAACGGGATGTTGGATCAGATCAACACCACTAAATGCAGCAAGGCCGTAGGATTCTAGTGGGGTAATGGGGTAATCACAAACATACAATGAGATACTGCAATCGGATAACTGTTCGTATGTAGTCGGGTGTGATATCAACGAATTAAATTAATTGAATCAATAAGAAAGATGATGCCCGCCAAGATCCGCCCACAGTTTACCAATAGATAACTAGAAAAGATTTTAGGGTAAGCCAGCATGTTTTCAGTATTTAGTACAGGCTTAGGACAGAGATTAGGTTAAACTCATATATATCATATATATAAAATCATATATATATATATATATATATTGCAACTGAATGTTGCAGTTTATAGGTGTAGAACTAAATTCAGTTTAAGCAAAGGCGTATAAGCACTTGATGACCGAACCTCTTGAAAGACGAGTACGAAATTTCGCACTATGTTTTCGGTGAACAGTTGAACGTAGGGATTCCCGATATTCTTAACAATCGAGTCTATTAAATAGAGTGACGGAAGCTTAATAGACGGTTCACTCTGAAACAGTAAAACCAAATGCATAAACACATAAGTACCGTAAGCTTGATATGATATCAGACATTTCTCCATTGATCTAAAAATTGATGACAGTTGAGAACAGCAGACATTAGGTTGGTATAGCGTTACATTTTGATATCTCTAATACTCCATTGTGTAGGTATACTTCATAGACGGAGAACGGCTGTTAAGAAATGTTTTTATGAAAAAGTCGACATTCAATTGGGCTCTAAGATTGGGCCAAAGCCCATTTAAAGAGCGGTAAAAGCATGATGGATTACGTAAAATACTGCAATTAGATAAACCGAATAGCATAAATGCTGAGGTTTTGTACTCAGGATGAGCATGATTATGACATTTATAGTAATGATCGTCATAAACGTTTTGATTAGATACAAGGGATAAAAGTGGCCTTTGTTTCACACGAACCGTGTATACATATCTGTAGAAGTCCAGCAACGCCAGGCTTATTTGATTACAAATCGACAGGGACATGGCCTAGTAGTAAAGGGCCCTTGGTTCGAAACAGGGCTATGCAACGGGTGCCGTTTCTGCTCAAAAGAACTGAAAAATAAGGTTTAATTCTCACCGAAAGCTAATATATTAATCACGCTGATCTTATTGGTTGTCTTTAGGTATTTCATACTATTGGTAACGTAAGTAGAAGCAATGATCCCGAAAGCAGCAGCTACAGTATAAACAACAACTGTTAAATTAGCCTTGTGTCAGCCTCGTTTCTATCGCTGCTGGGCGTTGTGTCGCTTAACGCTTTGTTCTCTCAGGAACTGAGGCTCCTGTTGCCGCTGCTGCTGACGAAGCGCGAAGCAAATACGGAAACAAAGTCAAACGATAAAACGACGTCTGTTCCTCTTTCCACAACACAACAATTGATGGTGGCGTGAAAAGCCTACGGCTACTGGCCAACGTTTTCGTTGTCGCCTTTGCTGCTGTTGCTGTTGCTGCTGCTGCTGTTGCCGCTGCCGCCGCCACCGCCGTCAGTGAAGCATCTGACGCTTCCCTCCCGCTGCTGGTATAGCCCCAGCAGTCGCTATTCTTGGTAACAGCGGTCATTCGTTCATTTTTCTAATAGCGGGCAAAATCGTTATGTTAGAAGAGCGGAATAGTGGATGGTAAAAAGCTGCCCCGTTACACCACAACCGTGTCAGAAATGCCACATTTTTTAAATGAAGAGTATATACCAAGCAACAATATTTTCTAAATACTTCTTTTGTTTCTAAAGGCAGATCGACTGATCACATTTCATATAGACGTAACGTAAAAGTGTATACGATATGAGAGGACAACTCGGATTCTGGTAGACTTTTTTGCAACTTTTGTTTCTATATTTGTTGTTTAACTAGTAGCAAAGTAGTAGTTTCACTAGATCGTGCTACGCTAATAAGGCGATACATATTTAGATCTTTCGGCACTTTAGTTTGGATGTTAAAACACTCTGTTGCACACTTGTCCGCAGAAGTTAGGCTCAGAGTTACTGATTACCATTGCGTATCCTGAGCACTTCAGCGATATGAAACAAACCTTTAGCTAGCTGATGCTTTTAAACAGTCTAGTTCTATAATCTATTATGGATCCAAAGCAAAGTGTAATCTAAGAATTTCATCATAAGAATAGTACATATTTAGCTATAGGTATACTTCAGGCAAGCTTCGACTTGAAAGATCCTCCGATTTGGGACTTGGTGGAGTAATCACAGAGAAAGCGGTTTCCACTTCACAAATATAGAAACAAATTTAATGACATTAAAACTTTAACCATCATAGTTTGTTCATACATAACCGTGTTTAATATGTACAACAAATTAAATGATCATCTTTGTCGAGACTATTATTCGTGCGTGTGGACCCGTGAAGTAACGTACTGCAAAATTTCGCGCCTAGATGCAGCTGGTCTTATGCAGGAAGTACATTTTTACTCAGGTAAATACAAAAAATCAATTGGTCACAGCGAAATATCTAAGAATTCAATTGTATCTTGAATATTGCGTTGACATCTGTATAAGCTGAGGCTAAAAGCCAGAGATTCTTTACTTTTCCAGTTAGTTTTCAACTGCCGTTAGGTTACCTCGTCCGCAAATTACCAATGTATACAATGCTGTTTACAAATCGCCTACGGACAAAGACGTTTGTCCTATAAAAACAATCAAACGCTTTTACAGCATCACCTTGTCCCTAAAAAAGAATACAATACTAAGGAGCCTGCTTTGGCAATGACCTTGGCCATGCGCTATTTTTGATTCATAACTGGAAAAATACAGCACTATTCTTGTGCCGTATTAGAGTGAATGAATGCAGCAATCAATAAAAGAGGATCGTTACGATAGCTGAAGTTTCGAAATATAAGTCCCTTCTCTGCTATATCCTGACAGGTCTTCGCATTATGAAATAGACCCATATAAACGGGTCTATTTCATTAACGTGGATAGTCTAGGAACTCCGGGTCTACGTCTGATGTTCCTGTTTTCATTGATGAAATAATGCGGTCGCATGAGACAAGCAGGACGAAATATTTAAAAAGACAAAAAACACTTCTGACACACCACTGGCGGAGTTGAGGGCTCAACCACTTTAATGAAACCTATCTAGCTCTCAAGTTCCCCTAACCACCAAATTAATTCCGAGCTCAATGCAAGGATTTCCAACTGCAGCCGTTATACACACTAAAAACAAATTCACACGATTCTCATCTCCATCACTTTATATATTAATCGTCATCATCGACTTTGCTACCACGATTACTACCACGGTTATCATCGAACCCCTTATTATCACTGTCACAACTGAGACTTTGAGAGAGGAAACGACGATAGCAGCCGTTATAGCTTAGTGGCAGGTGAAAGCTAGAACGGCAAGGAAGTTAGTTGCTATGGCGTCCTTTGCTGATATAGTATATGCAACAATAATGATAAGAATGATGATAAAAGGGAAGTGCATTCTGCTTTTAGGCTTGTAGGACTATTTTCTGAACAGATACGTTCACACTGACGAGAGGATAGAGCATAATGATAACGGCGGCTGTTATTGAACGAAATTAGTTAACGGCGTGATTATCCCTGTGTGCACGGGCAGAAGAGGTATTATTATAATTATTATTGTATGCTGCTCAGTTCTGAGTGGTTGAACTGTGTCCGATCTTGTACTATCGATTTTCTAACCATATGCACTAAAGCCACTCACCGTGCGCAAATAATGTTCGATGGCTTCAACGATTTTTCCCGCGTGCTCCCGACTTTCATCTGCCAACATCGTCAGCATACTGATTAGGGGCTTCGAATTAGTTGTCAGATCCCGAAGTGACGAGGCAAACTCTGCCGCAGATTCCTCCATGGCAAACGGTCCCCCTTAGAGAAATCGCCCCACCTGTTGGTCTATTATTTCGTCCTTTTTATGGTTTAGTTTCGACAGGGAGAGCAGGGCCGCTACGAGTCGGAAGTGGCCTCTTCGCTCAAGTCGAACTTCACCTACCCCACCACCACCACTGCCTTGTTGTCCTGCAACTGGGGTGGACGTACACCAACAGGCTGACTAGCCTGTCGATTCAGCCTAGCGCACCATTTCTAGTCATAAAGTCGCTGTCATTTCGGCATGAACACACTAAGCAGTTGTACAACCGCTGCACAAAGCTCCGATGGCAGATCGAGATCTTTTATGTCTAATAAATCGGGTCAAACAGAACATAGGCTAAAGCTGCTTGTTTGTATTACGACTACGGCTACTACTGCCGTTGTTATTGCTGCCAGTTCTTCATCGATGGCTCAATCGCTGCAGCCTGCTTTTACGTTCGTCGCAGCAGCAGCGACAGTGGTACGTATCAAAACAATCTGCTATGCGTTCATTGCACTTAGAAGCCTTTAAGTTACGCCAGCCGGGCGACTACTAACTAAAGAAATTACTTATCTCGAAGAATCAACTTCCTGAAGAAAACAAGAGTTGAATTGTAGAGTTGGCCGTAATAGCCGAAATACTTATTATATTCGCACAAGGAAATTACAATAGCGCTTTCAAAGGATATTAAAGTACAAACCTTTTTAACATTTCCAATACTGTCTAATTACTTCAACAATAAAACGCAGTTATGTCGCAGATGAAAAGCCAATGCTCACATCTGATAATGATCTACAGAATACCTGTCTTTATATTTCGCTTAAGGAACTTCACGTTTTATTATCGAAAAAATGCTCGGGCAAATCGGTGAATATAAACGGGTCAACTGAACCATAGTGCAGTTACCCTGTTTCTCTCTATCCTGTGTTTTGCGATTCCACGTTTGCAAGCTGTTAAGTGTTAGAAAGGTCTCTTGGTTGATCCTATAAGCCTGTTCAAACCTTCGCGCACTTTAGGCTGGCTTTTAATTTCGAAGATGAGCATATCAAGTGAAAAAAAGAAACATTTATTATTCGGCTTTCGGTGAGAACAAAATGCTGCCGTAACAGCCCGGGATAACTATGGTGTGTTCGAAAGAACTCGAGACTGGAATATTCAAGGAAATAACTCAAAACGCTTTTCTATATTCAAAAACGTCATCCTTAATCTAAAGAGCGCAGCCTACTGGAATTTCAGAAATGGACATTGATTATCTGCAGTCACCTTTAATTGTTTAGATGAACCTATATTTTTTAGCTGCTGAATCCTTACGGTAAACAAAGCGAATATCCTAGGCTGCTTATACGCCTTCTGACAACAGGGCTGTATATTCCTCCGTCTGCACTCTGGACACCTCTGAAGTCTGAACTTCAAATAATAATAATCCAAACCCAATAGCACATGTTGTGCCTCTTTAGAGATCAGTAGTCATAATAGAATAAGGTCCGTATTGTAAAGTTCTTATACGGGAAGAGTTAGGATCCGTTACTGGTCTGTATGGCGCAAACAAATGTAAGCGCTTCTAAGCTCCACGTTCGGTTTACATAGTATACAATGGCTTCACCCCAGTGATATCCAGCTGGTACGCAAAAATTTTACTCAAACCCATTTAGGAAAAAGTACCATGAGTCAATTTCCCTATAGCCTGCAATACCCGTCTTGAAACATAGGTCAAGATTAAGCCCTGATTATATGGAACACTTGAAAATCAGCAAACGAAAAATTTAAAAAAATCAATAACAAGAAACGCCCGACTATTTAATATATATGTATTGCGGCCATCTAGCTTTTAGTGTTTGCTTCCATCCTCCTATGTTTTAAGATGCAATTCGGCCGGGTACAGTTACCAAAGTTGCCCGAACCTGATAGTAGCGAAAAGACAATCGGTCGGATGACATATCTAAGATCAAAAAAAGAACACGGCAAACCGGACTTTCAATGCATGCATCGCAAATGAGCTTGCACAAACCAAAACACTGAAATACTTCCGCCAGGTGAAGTTTTTAGGGGAAACATCATCTTGTGGTTTGTCTTAGTTCGAAATTCTATATTCTATATTGATTCTGGAGGCACCATAGGTGAAAAAAGCGACTGCCCGATGCGCTCGACAAAAATAACATACAGCTCTAACATACACTAGTAAGACATAACATAAGGAGATTCCCAAGAAGAAAATTATGCCAACTCCAAGTTTTCAGGAAATTAGGAAAGATCTTTACATAAAATGTGTGAATAGACGGATTTCGTTGTGCTGCGATTTGCAACCCTGTCACCTCTAGCTTTATTTTCTAGTGCGTAAGCATCGTTTAAACAGGAACTCTATATAAGTAACCAGTCGTTATGGTTGTTATTATCAGACGTTAGAACTCGTTAACATACGATTTGATGTACAGATACTAAATTATTGAGCAATTTTTCTATGTATGTATCTTACAGGGCTCACAGCTGCCATTATGTCAGTTCAATAGCATTTCACAAACCACACGCAGCCACCCACGGATACAACGGCCCTAATAATCACGCAGATCGGGACCGCCAATAAACTCTGGTCAAGTCTTTCTTAAACGTTATTGCAAATTCATGCTAGCCTGCTAAAGTTTCCATGTGAATATAAAAAAGTCCAGTTTGTTGAAATGTGCTGCATATTATCGTCAACACCGCTTGGCCCTGTCGGTTTACTGCTACCATTGCAGATACCGATCACTTGGAACTAACCTTTCGTGAAGACCAACGCTTTCTGAAACAACCCCTATTGATGACAAAGTAGCTCCAATTAATATTTAATTTAATTTCAAGGAAACCTTTGCTAAAACGTTAAAGTGAAAAGCCCCAAATATAACTTTCCTAAAAAGTCAAATAAAAAGAAATGTTTTTTTTTTATTTTTTTGACTTGCCTTTTTTTGGACATCTGATTTTTTTGACAGCATCGTTCGTACTCGTGACATAGACTGATACAAGGGAGTTGGCGGGTTTTAAAACTGAATAGTTTTAGAAGTACGCAACGCCGGCAGACGAAATTTATTTGGCAAATACTCCAGTGTTTTAAAAAGTTGTGGCTAAAAACCGATTGAGTATACCGTACGCAAAATTAGTAGAAAAGTACATCTTTTAGTCTGTATTCTGTATTTCGAAAATCACAGCGTTGCGGAGATTAGTTGATAATTGTTGAAGACATTAGGCAAGAATGTTTAAAGGGAAAACGCAGTACGTGGATGGTGGAGACACTTCAAGAACGAAGACTGGGGTGTTGAAGACGAGCCAGGAGATGTTAGTTATGTTGAGACCCGAAAACTAAGAGCCTATTGCTGTAACGTCGTACAGAGCTGTAACTCAAATACTGAAAATACGGAAATTAGGTAAGAAATGGTTCTCCCGTAACTTAACATCAGGGTAGTTGGAAATGCGTATGGCCTACCCCACGTACAGCTTGCGGAACTTTAATCAAAAGAAGGAAAACTAGGACAATATGGCCATTATGGATGAAGCGTAATTTAATCTCTGCTGCTAGCCGAAAAGAACCTAAGCGATGTAATGGCGTTTCTTTGGAGAGAGATCGAGTTCGGTAAAAATATTTATAGAAGTGATGAAAGTACCTGCAAGGGATATTTGTTACTGCGAGATACTCGCCGAAAATGAAACATTGAATGCAGCCCTTACAATGGTCATGGACTGATGATATGGCAATCGAAAGCATACACTCTGGTTATTTGGTGGCAACCCTAGATCTTATCGCCATGCCTCAGTTATTTCTTGAATTAAATGGAGAAATATCTAACGTTGGCTTCGACCGCCGATTCGTCCAATCTAAGCCTGGGTGATTACGTGGCTTTCCATGCCCCAAAAGGGACAAGTGGTTTATTTCGAGAAGCCATAGATAAAGAAATAGCACATAGAAACGCGGATATATGGCTGTTCACAAATTGCCAGAGCACTGAATCAAATATGTAAATTTGAAGAAGAGTCTTTTTAAAATCATTATTCTAGTCTTACTAGTCCAAAAGTTATTCAATAATGAAGTCCACCGGATTCCCTTGCTACAGTTTAGTACACACTAGCAATAGATTACCATAATTTCATTCTATACATATGTACTTTTCTATTGCAGTAGCTAAACAGTGCTGACCTTTAAACAATAAAGATGAATTTGAGTGGCGGCAGGTAAATATATAATATACGCGTTCGTGTACGTCGAGCACGTAGAGCTTGCAAAAAGCGCAAGAGATGCATGCGAGTACCTGTGCATAGAATAGTTGTATAGAAACATACCTTTAATCATGGCGTCGACGTGCCCAAAACATACTTATGCGGGAATCTGAAGTTGCGACGCTGATTGTAAGTGGCTCGGTGAAGATCAGACATTAAAAACAAAAAAAAACATGTATGTTGTTATATTAAGTAAAGGCATGCGACAATTACACTTGCGCTAGAACTATACGATGATGTTAGACGATCTGCACACGCTAACTCCTACAGTTGTAATAAAGGTCAATATTATTTTCTAGAAAAGCTAAATAATCTTATAAGCGTTGACTGCAAAAGTGCTAAAAAATAGATTTTTCATGTACAATATTTGAGGAAGTTCATCCTTGGAATGATTTCGTTTTACATGTTTGGCGAGCCCAAATTTTTTTACTGAGCACTCCTTTTATCGGTTGACTGCTTATCCGAGAGAGCAATCTGAAGGTATTCACTCTGAAGAATCAATATTGAATTAGGTTTAGTAAAACGATCAGGGCAAGACACTACAAAACTTTATTTACGTATAATATCATTATATTGTTTGCCATTATTTATTTATCTTGTAACAATACAACTTTAAGGGATATTTTGAGTAAAGATCCGTCGAATTACGTGGAATGGAATCTGAAGAGGCAAACAGAGCTACCACGCTGAAGTCAGTTATTTAAGATCGACAACAATTAATTAAAATTAGTAGGCCCGTTATGAATACCTAAGTGAAACCGAATTGCTATATATGCTTAGCTCCAAGCAGCACGTACCTTGAAGCTTCCCTTGTAACTTAAGACATCAAAGTTTATTGTTGGTACCTCTCTTTGAGATGAACATAGTTTCAAAATATGGAGTCAGCCAGGCAAAAGGTTCATGAGATTTTACGGAGATACTGAGTTCAAAGTGGTGTTTAAATTCGTACATGTCTATTGCAAATATGCCAAATGAGTGAATAATAGAATTCACTCATAACTTGCTATTAGCGTGCAGGTGTAGTTAAATGCGTAGGGTTTAGGTAATAGCTCAAGGAACGTATTAATAATGGTCAACGTGCAGTAGAAGTATTGAATGGGTTGTTTTCTCTCGTCATTTTTATTAGCTCCTGAAAGATGCATGTAAAAATTGTAATAACAGCCTTGCATGTACCCCACCTAGCTGTGTGACTG